TTCTGCTGATATTTCTAGCAATATAACTCGAATATAACCAGATATAAAATTAACGCAAGCAATAATTATCATCATGAGTATTTGTGTTTTTATGCGATCTTTGAGATCATCGGGAATAAAAGTAAAATTTAGTTTAGTGACGTTGCACAATCTAAAAATATAATCATCGTCCTTATCTCATGCAATATTTGAGCACACTTTCTTACGATATTGCTGTATAAAAATTAGTTGATGTTAATGTAATATTTGATGGACAATAGTGTTGAGTGAGAGATGTGAAGTTAAATGAACATAGATGAGATGCTCGATCAATAAATGAATTAACGAAATCACCAAAGAGTATTAATGCTAATGGAAGACAAACACCAAAAGCTATGGAAGCAATAGTTCCTAGCACTATGTAAAATAGCTCAGGAACAGTAGCATATCGAAACTAAAAATCAAAGAGTAACTTAAATGAATAAAATATTAGTAACAATTTATGATTTACCAGACTTGGGATGCTCACTACTTGAGTTGGTGTTTTATCTTGTTGTTTAGTATGAAATCGTTGCCAAAAGTTTGTTTTTTGAGATACTTTTTCTCCTTCTTGAGGGATTAGTCTAAAAAACAATAAATACAAGTGTCATCGAAAAAAATGACGATCTCATATACTCCATGTCTATTGTTTCATTTCGTTGTCCATATATATTGTTATCATTTGCTACTGTAGTATCCGACGAGTTTCTATCAACCATCATTCTGATTTGTTTGAAAATGATTGATACAGTATTATTGTATTAGACGCATAATTCAAGAGATACACTTTTTTATCGGTAAATTTTTTGCTTTCCTACCTTGCCTCGTGGATTGGTTATTTCTTCAAGATTATTTATATTTGCATATTTACAATAGCATGTTAGAGCACACAACAAGGTAACTGCCGATGGGGTAGCTACTGTTTATTCAAATGATTCACATTATTAATGTGAAAAAAACCTGTCGAAGATGCTATTAATTGATTTGATAAATCTGATGGTCATCATATTCATTTGGATGTCATACTTGTCTCATTAAAAAGTATTTTTTGCAATAAGCAAAATACAACGATGAAGGTTTAATTGTGAATACTTCTACCAAAATCAGTCCCACTAATGATTTTTTTCAATGCTAAAATTTCCCACAAGAACACATGGATAATGATAAAGAACAATAAGACTTCATAAGAATATTCATCTGTTGAGTACCACTATAATAAAGGTAGGTTTTTTCGAGTATTTGACTCTATGAATAACACTCGAACGGAAAAAGATATCGAAATATGGTGGTCTTTGGTATGACATAGAACAGACTTCATTATATGCATCTATTCAAGAAAGACACTTCTAGGGAGCTCATTTATGGGATAATCTCGATGAATTGTAGAGGAACTATCTAAACATCTTGTGAAACATAATAAAAGGCAAAACATATCCTTCGATGGCTGAATTCTCTCTAAAGTATAGATACTATAATTGTGGTGTACCATAGAATAAATGTAGTTCATGGTTTACTGTTTGTGATCTGTATTGCACCGGCATCACAATATTGAGTTGATGTATTTGATAACATCTGTCACAGTTATTCACATTATTTACTATTGACGCTCGTGATTATGGGTGTTATATTTTCGTTATTCTTTGCAGTAAGTGATACTTCTAGGCAAGTAAACAGTAGTTTCAGCAACTAGATGTCTAGTTAACTAGGTATTCAGTTATATAGGCAATAAGTAAAGAGTGATATCCTAAAATCCTGACTTTCTATAGATTCTCTATGATATCCGACACAACTCTATGGAATTCTATAGAATCTAGACTTTAAGATAGTCTTGGAGCCCTTAGAATACCATCAGATTTCAGAGTCTAAGGGAGGCACTTTCACTTTCGTTTCGAAAAAAAAGTGAATTAAATACGCTCCTTTCCGAATAAAAGAGAAATTTAATTGAATTTCGCCTTTTCTTTCGTGAATGGAATGGAATGGAATGGAAAGGAAAGTAGAGAAACTTTCTTTTTTGTTTTTTATGTTGTACAAGAGTGAGTCGAATTTTCTATGCCGTTCGATAAAGAGAATATTAAAAAGAAAGTAAAAGAAAGAGAATCAAAAATAAAAGGAAAGTCGAAGAAAGTAAAGAAGAAGTATTAAAAAAACGAAACAAGTCAAAAAGAAAGTGCAAAATTTGACTGTATAGATCATGCTCATGATCGTTTATATGAGCGTTCGTTCGGTCTCGAAAAAAAGAAGAAAGATAAAGTTACTCGACTGTTACGTTACTAACTATATTAGTAGCGAAAAATTTGCGACTTTAGCAAAAGAAAGAAAGTTTTCTTAAAATAACAATTGTTTCATAAAGTTTGGTCAAACGTAATCGAGTTCGAGGAATTCAAACCTGTAATCGGTTTCTCAAAGCTATGTACGTATCTTTAGGTTAACTTATTTCTACTCTGGAAACGGGTAATCAAGCTTTATTAAAAAAAGTTGTTAGTTTCTCAAAATATTCTTTCTTGAGTCAAAAAAATTAAGTGCACAACTTCGAGAAGGCGACTACATGTTTGAATTGCTCAAGCCCGAAAAAAATCAGTCAAACGTTATACGATTCATTGATTTTCTTGCAACAGACTGCTTCTGACCGAAAAAAGTCACTGAAGATTTTTACTGGTATCATCAATAATGTGGCGTGAATGGCCTGTCTTCAATTAAATGTAAACTAGTTACCGCTTATCTGGTTAGTAAGCAATACCACTTATCATTCATCACAAGTACCAATTATCCGACAAGTGGTAAGTGATTAAAATAACCATCTAATGATTAATCATCAATGAATAATCTAACCATCTATCTGTGCTAAATAGGGCAGTATACGATCATAAAAGTACATACTATTATCATGATAAGCAGAAGAGACAATAGTGATTGTCACACGCCTACTTATGATGACAGATGTGTGATAGATGTTTGTTCTATGTATACTATCAGAAAAATAACTTGTGACTATTTGAGCTTATTTGTGTAAGGTTCGTTATATTTCTTGATATAGTATTGGACATATTAGTATTCTTATTAGAGTTCAAATGAGAGTATTTGTACTTGCATTTTTCAGACTTTTTCAAACAACAGTATTTCGTATTTATATTTATATATTGAATCAAATACTGTCATGCTTATGCTTAGGTAAAAAAACCTGTATTTTGTACTTTCCATGTCAATACAAAACAATGTCTTTTTGTACATTTCGAAGTGTTCTTTTTGAGAACTTCACTATTCTCGACAACGAAAGACATTTTAAATACTAAAGCTTGTTCAATTAAATAATTTAATCATTAACTAAATACATAGATGAGTTTGGTAAAAATTAAAACGAATTCTGGACTAGTGCTTATTTTGAAAATCTAAGTATCTTTTATACAAAACACTTTTTATATTTTCGAGGTATCAGATGAGTAATGACAACATGTTCAATTTAGGCATAATTAGTCTTTGCATAGATCGAATGCTTTTCAGATGACTCTCTAAGTTTCTGTTAAAGTAGATTTTCATCCTAAACATATTAAGCTTTCACAATTATTAGTCATATATCGAACTAGATCTGATAAACTGGATTTATTTTTAGTTCAATATTGTTAGAAAGAATTTCTAGTTTTAACCTAAACTTTGG